CCAAGATGTATCCCCTTAATACCTCCCTAAATTGTCATGATAATTTTCCTCCCAACAGAAGCCTCCACTTCACTTTGCTTCATCCTTGCCAAGGAAAATAGAAGGCATTGTGTGTAACATCCAAAAACTTTAAATCTAGAATAAATTGAGTAATTAAGGGATAAATTAGTTAAAAAGATGATTAATTAATTTAATTAAATTTTTGGGAAGCTAATTAGCTTCTTGAGTCATATTTGGCTTTAAATTGAGTTAGGATGGAAGTTGGATCGAATCGGGTGGCATTAGGGGAAGCAAAAATACTTTTTGCTCGTTACATCATGTGCCATGTTTTGTGTGTCATGCGCTACAGTGCATGGCACAACTAGACAAGTTAAGCTTTGAAAATCATCAAAAAAGGCAGTTTTTGTGAGGGAAAACCTAGAACACAAGGAGAAAGGATTTAGGCACTGCTAGGGCTTTAATTTGGAAGGATTTTGAAGCTAAATTGGGCCTTCGAACTCTTGAGTAAGTTTCTCACCCTTCTCCTCTACCTTTTCATCTCATTTTTCATAGAATTTAGAAGTGGGAGAATTTGCTCTGAATGGATTAAGCTATGGGTCTATGTTTTAGAGGTTTCTATTGACTTTAGAGGTTTGATTTAAGTTTTTTAACTTTAGATAAGTGGTAATATGAATCTTAGTTATTGTTTGGTGTAAGTTGGACCAAGCCTTAGCTAATTGTAGGGTTTTGAAGTGTGATAAGTTGAGATATTAAGTGTTATGTTGTGATAGAGTTAGAGGGAGGCTTAAGGGGATGGTGTGAACAAATTGTAATCTTGATAGGCCTCTTTATTGAGAATATGAGTGAGGAGTGGGAGAATTAGGATGATATTGATAGCTAATAGTGCTTGTGTTAATTAAAAATTAACATATAGTACTTGTTGTTGTAGAATGTGGTGTGAGAAAACTTTCTTCAACACACGAGGAGATTTAATACCATGGGTAACCCCTTTTAGTAACAAAGGGTTGAGCTAACTAGATAATTTGTATTATTTATTACCTTGTACAAGTTATTCTCAAGTTATTTTTCTATGATTTGTTATGTATACATGTATAAATTTTGTAAAAGTTAACTATTTTAGAAAATAAGTGGAGTAATAATTTGTGAAATTTCATGTTTTTTGAAGTAAGTGGTAAGATTTGTTATTTTACTTAGAAAATGGTTTATGCATGATTAAGTAGAGATATGTAGTGAAATATTACATTTTAGAGGGTGGGAGGTTACCTTAGTAGAGTTAGTGGAGATTAAGTTCATATGGCATTGTTGGCACCTTGGGACACTAGGTGCAGCTCAAATTTCTCCTTAATGCTCAAAAAAGGGTGTGATATTCGAGACTTACTCTTTTAGTACCTAAAAGGGTTTAGAGTTAGAGACTATGCTCCTTAGCATTTGTAGGATGTGATGTTGGAGTAATGATACCACAATTACTCATAATAGGGGGAAACTATAGTCCATAAATGGTTTAGGATGTCTTAGCTAGATAGTCCTACCATGGAAAGTGAGCTTGGGGACCATCATGTGATTTAGTTCTATGAAATAGCTTACCGGTTCAATTAGGAGTATTAGAGGATTGGATGATTAATGATCATGCATTTTATTATGGTGAATTGTATATGGTGTGTTTATCATGCATATTTTAAAACTTGTTTATAACTTAGCATATATTAATCAATATTGTACATTATCTTAGTTACAGAGATTTTTATCTCGCCTTATGGTTATTATTTTTATAGGTTCTATTGCTGAGTTTAAGCAGGGGAAGGAATCGGGCAAGGATTAGTATATATACTACATTACAAATAGTAATGCTTGATTTTGTTTGAGTGGTGTACATATACTTAGTCATATGATATTATATGTTGCCAATTAGAAATGTATATCATTTTGATTGGTTGCACTTGCATTATACTATGATATTTTGTATTTTAACCTAATATTTTATATGATGTAGATATGTAGTGATTTTTGTGGTGATGAGCTAAAATACTAATACAAGTGTAAGGAATATTGTATATATGTGGTGATAATGTATGTGGTGTATTATGTGCAATAAAGGCCAAATAGTATATGTGGTAGTGATTTTGTGTTTTTTGCCATATTAGGTGAAACCATCATTAAGTGCCCAAATTTTGTGTTTGGTATGTTTTTGTTTGTTTAAATGCTCAATTAGGTGTATTTTAATCCATTGGACTTAGTTCAAGCCTCAAAATGGGTTAATAATATAAGTTTTGAGTTATGGATACGTGGATGCTTGAAAATCATTTTAAAAACTGATTTTTATATCTGAGTGCATAAAATTCTCATACAATATTAGATTGTAATGAAACTTATACCATTAGTTAGCTTATTGAATAGGCTTTGTGTGGGTTCTTGAATCATTCTAATTGGATATTAGATGTGAAAATAGCGTGCATTTAAAGTTTGCCCCAAAAGCTATCATGACAGCATTTTGCTATCATAACAAGGACACATGCACTGCGGCACATGGTGTAGCAGCCAAAATGGCCTCTTTATGCCACATGCCACAGTGCATGGACCACGAGCTATGGTGAATGTATTAAAATACTCAAAATGATATTTTTGGCCCTATTTTTAAGTATTTTGCTTCTCAAAACTTTTCCATACTTCCTATATCTTTATAAATCATTAAGTTTGAGTTCAAACTACCTGTTTGAAATGTTTTTTTGGGATCCTAAATATTTCAAATTATTTCTTAAGATTATTAGCTTTACATCTTCTATATTTTACTGTGAACTTAGGAGTAATCTATAATTCCTAATTATGATTATTTGTTATGATTGTGTGGTAAATTTTGATAATGTCAAGGCAAATATTATTTTGTGATAGCAATTGGATGAAGGCAATTGTATGAACATAAAGGGGTTATTACACCTACCCATTGGCTTCTTCACAATACAACCTTTGGCGACCCCACTAGAAGGTAATCTAATGTATGAGATTTGTTATATTATTGTGAGCGCTTGTTAGGGATATAATTCATACACTATCAACTTGTGAAGGACATATTAAAATTTCTTAATGAAGTCATGCGTATGTGCAATGATCTCCTCTAGCCTTTCTCTATTATATAGTGTTATTTTAAATTTTTTTATATTGTTTGTTCTACTTGTAGATCTCTTCTTTTTCATTGCATTGATAGAGAGCATTGAGAATTTATTTGCCTTCATATATATATATATATATATATATTGTATGAAGAAGTGCCTCTTATGATAGAAAAAGGCCTTGATGCCTACAGATATTATTTCTTGATTAATGATGCTAGTCTTTTCACTATTATAAAAATAAGATTTAATAGCATGCATTTTGTGACAATAAAAAATGAAATGCCACTAAATATAAAAGCAAAGGTAGAGAGGTGGCATTTCTTATATCAAGTGCCACAGCTCACAAATTATTATTTTTATTTTAAATTTTAGTAAATACATAGAGGTAGTGCTTTTCAAATGAAATGTCACAGCATTATCTTGATCAATAATTATGTGGCATTTCAATAATTAAATGCCACCTCTCTACCTTGTTATAAATTAAGTATTTTGTTTTGTAAGATTATATCATTATTTTATCATAATTATATAATTAATATAAATAATCAGTACAGAAAATTATTTAATAATTTAAAATCAGATAGGTGGCATTTTTCCTTATTAGAAACGCTACCTCTTTGATTCATTAATTAATTATTGTCGAGTTAATAATTAAAAACAAAGAGGTGGCGTTTCTGCAAAATGGAAAGGCCACCTCTCATATCCCAAAAATTAAATAATTATATATTTAAATTAGTAACTAATTAAATACATTATATATAATTTATACAAATAATTATTTTCTTTTATAATAATAATTAATAAATAAATTCAATGGTTTAATTATTCAAAAATTTTATATATTAATTAATATATATAATTTTTTAATTAATTTAATTAATATTTGTATGATTATGTAATATTATTTAATTATTCTAATATAAATTAATAAATTATTCCATAACTAATGTTACAATCTAGTCTTCAAATTTATTTCAAATATTTTCACACTTTCAAATTCTAACTCACGCAAAATATTTTTCCCTTCAGCAAACTGTCAAGTCCCATATCTAACATCTTTTATATTCCATGTTTCAATAATTTATTATTTTAAAAAAAGCTCTTTAGTAATTTTGGTCCTTAATTTCTATCTCGGAGCAAACTGGATGGATTTTGAAAATTAATCATGATTTTTGAGGGGGACATAGTGGAAAAATTCTAGCTCTTAATTCCTGTTTAATCACTCTTAACGCCATCAGTATTGTTTAAATTTGTGAATGTCAGGTGATCTTTTTGCGTTATACGCGAATCATATGACTTGTTATAAGTTTATAATATTATATATAGATTTATAATAAATTAGGGCAACTTAATTTATTAACCAAAAGGGCAATAATAGAGGATTACCTACTTTTTCAATATCGTTTTATGTTTCTAATGCAAATATAGTACGCATAGCATGTTTACTGGTACACTTTTTTTTTTAATTATTATTTTAAAGAGAAGACAAATAGTTGATAAGTACCCAAAAATACTTACATAATACAAATCGCGAAGATCACTGCACTTTATACAAGAATATAGATGCAATGGTAAATACATTAGAAAAACAAAGTAGTCAAATATGGAGGAACTGTAACCTTCCATGAGTTATCCAAGTGTGATGTTGTCGAACTGGTTCGCTGAATAAGGTTTTGGACTCACAAGTTTCAAAGATACTCGTTCTATGGTTGGACGACGCCATAGATTGTCATTCAAACGTGCAAATGCTATTTTTTGCAATCAGCATTACTTCCTTGACAGCTTGGTTTGCAGGTGGAGGAAGTCGTTGATCCAAGACATTCTCATGGGGGAGTTTGAAGGATGTTGGAATCTCTGTCAAAGAACAAACAAACTCTGTGGGGTGTCTTCCCATTAAGATTTCCAATGTGGGAAGACCCCAAAATTATGAACATCACATTTCTCATTTGCTTGCATTGTAAAAGCAATCTCTACATCAAACACGACAAATTTGTATGAGCATTTTCTTCGGCGTTCCAATGGGTTATATCTTGCCAATGATGTATTAGTGAACAGCTTCAAAGAATTAGAAGAAGGAGCAATAACAGCCTTGCTAGAACAAAGCAGTGATACTAAAACAGCAAGTACACATGGACATAGTATGAACCACATAAGTGAATCATCTTCCATACCTAGTTATAAATAACCTTCTTTTATATCCCATAAGACCTATTGTTCAAGCCCGACGGATGAGTAGTAACAACCATACGAGTCATGATTCGGAGTGTTTTAAGTTGGTTGGATAAACAGGAACCAGAGTCTATGTTGTATGTCTCTTTTGAAAGTGGTGGCACAACTCTCAAAAACCGAAATAATCGATTGATTGCATATAATTGCTTTTTTTTTAAAAAAAATTAACATAAAGAGAACGAGACAATATTATATTTTCATATTCTAGTCATAGGGTAAGTCTTAAAACTTTATTTGATACTAAATATAAGAAAATACATAGTAGTTAATTTTTTCTCTCAATATTACCTTCTTAGTTGCACCAAGTTGTAATTCCTATACAAATTTCATTGTGATTACTAATTTTGAGACTTAACTGCCATTCTTCAAAATAAAACCAAAATCTCATGTCGATATTTTGCATCTATAGAGTATTTGTGGTGTAAAAATATTCTCATTAGGTTGCTTCATAAGTCAATGAACGTTATCACTTATCAATAAGTATTGACTTTTCTTACATAAATCCAATCCGAATCATTAAAGGATAAGGCAAATTTGAAAGCAATTGTATTTTAAATATTTTAAATTGTGTCACGTGCAGTAATTGAATATCAAAGTCCATTCATGTTGACGTCCTTATAACAGTTATATATACTTTTCAAATTCCGATCGAATTCCCATTTATTGTCTATCAGATTGTTTTAAAAGTTGAGATAAAAGAAGGAACAATTGTAAATAAAAGAAATAACTTTTATACTGAGTCATTTGATCCTTTTACTTGTATATGTCATAATTGTCTCACTCTAAATGTAAGACTTTAGACTTCAAAACCGCTGAATATCTACCTGTGTTGAACTGTTGATGATAGTGTTGTTACTTTAGACTTTAAAATCATCCCATGTTAATTTTCCAAACGCCACATTTTTTTCTGAAAATATTTTAAAAGATTTGAAATTTAAACTCAATTATTTTTATTTCTTTCTTTCCCCATCTTTCGTTTTTTCTGAGTAATTAAATTCGTCTGTGTTTCCTTGACCCTAAAAGCACGCCGCAGCTTTGTTTACTTTTCAAAACACATTTATTACTCCTAAACTAATGTTACAGTCGAGTCTTCCATTTTTCTATTTTCCAAATATACGCTCAAACCTTCAAATGTTAATTCACATGCAAGATATTTTCCCCCATTAGCAATAATTTATCTAGTAAATTTGGTCCTTAATTTCAAACCCAGAGCAAACTCAATCTTGAAAGGCAATGGTGCATTCGTACTTATAAATCACTTACTAAAAAGGTCCTCACATTAATAACGAGATTTGATTTCATTATTTTGCAGGTTATGAGCCAAATTTTTACAGCTGGATCAACTTTTGTTAGTAATTTTAATTTTATTTTATTAATGATAAAAAATTTGAATATTCAGGCTGGCCCATTGAATTAGAACCAAATTATCAGTCTAACCTTCTTCAATCCATTAAAATAACTTAATGTTAACCGTTAAGTTTTAAGAATAAAACTTAATGCATTGGAGAAGATTGATTGATTTTATAAAATTAATGGATTCTTATATACTATTGTTAACTTAAGGATAATAAAAGTTGTTGGATAAAAATTTTTTGAATATTTTTGCATCTTATATATGTTTGCTTTCTTTTTTTAATAATCAACATTAATGGATATCAGACAAATTTAGCGAGATGGAGAAGGATGTCCTTATAAGAAAGAGTTTATGAGTATCCATATATTATTGTTGATTTAAGAATATTAGATGCTCATGCTGAAAGAAGTTTTTGGATATTTTTACCCAATAATCCGATAAACAATTCCAACTCTTTGCAAAAAGCTCTTCTCATCAAGTTTACGTTTTTCACCTGTGCATCGTTAACGTCTAGCTCCTGATTCCTGCTTTATCACTAAGTACTTTCTGTATTCTTTAACTTTTGTGCAACTATTGTGATTTAAATGTATTATACGTGAATGATGACTTATTAGAAGTTTATACTCATTCGTTCTTTTAAACGAGTTACATTCCAATAAGTTAATTAATTATATTTAAAATTACATGCTCTTTTCATGTTTATTCTTATTTAGTAGTGTTTCTCAATTATAATTATTAATTACACTTTTTAATTAAGAGTATTTTAAGAAAAACTTTTACATATTGAAAGACCCAAAATACTTTATATTTTTTAATATAATACTTTGAAAAACTACCTTATAATATTAAACTTAAGCAATATTATGTTATATATAATTGTAATATATAGACACCAACATAATTTATTAACCAAAAGGACAATTATGCAGAGGATTGCCTGCCTTTTTCAAGATCCTTTTTCAACATCGTTTTATGTTTCTAATGTCACGCCGTTGTGGAAGTTCCTCCTCGTCCAAATTCCAAAAGCAAAACAGGCACTAATGACCTTATCCATTGTACTAACTAGTTTTTTTTTTAATTAAAAAAAATTAACGATCAAATTCGTTAACGTTAGGGTACGTACCACATTTACTGTTACACTTTATTATTATTATTATCATCATTTATTTATTTTAAGTAGAAGACCAATAGTTGGTAAGTACCCTAGTTTATTCTCGATCGAGCCAACAACACTTTCATTACACAAATGGCAAAGACCACTCCACTTTATTCAAACACAGATGCAATGGTGAATGTACAATAGGCTAACAAAGTAATTATCAAGGAACTTTAACCTTTCATGAGTTACCCAGGTGTGATGTTGTTGAATTGGTTCATTGAATAAGGTTTAGGCCTCACAAGTTCCAAAGATAGTTGTTCCATGGTTGGACGGCACTGTGGATTGTCATTCAAGCAAGCAAATGCTATCCTTGCCATCAATACTTGACAAGTTGGTTTGAAGGTGGAGGAAGTCATTGATCCAACACATCTTTAAGTGGGAGATCATTTGATGTTGAAATCTCTCTCAAAGAACAAATAAACTCCACTGGATGCCTTCCCATTAAGATTTCTAATGTGAGAACTCCAAAACTATATACATTACATTTTTCATTTGCTTGCATTGTAAAAGCAATCTCTGCATCAAACATGATAAGTTATTATGAGAATAATTATATTGCATTGCATAGAATAATAGCAATGATTTTTGGCTGCAAAGAAAGGAGACCTCACCTGGAGCTGCATAGCCATAGGTGCCAGCAAATGAGGTCATGTTGTTCAAGTCTAGCTTTAAAAACTTTGCTATTCCAAAGTCATTGATATGAGCTTCTTGATATTTTTGATCTAATAGGATGTTCTTGCTTGATGTGTCACGATGAACTATAGGGCATGAAAGACCATGGTGCATGTGGAATAATGCATCAACCACACCTCTAACAACAATCACCCTCTTATCCCACTCAAGTTTAGATGCTTGCATGTCATTTTTTATAATCTTATCCAAGCTACCACCTTCTAGGAACTCATAAACAAGGAATGATAGGCATGAATTTAAATAAAACCCATGCAACTTCATGACATTATGATGTTTGATCTCTGTTAATGCTTGAATTTCCCTTGAAAATGCTTGAGGATTAGAAAAATCTGCATTACAATAATTTGGATGGAGTTTCTTCACATCATAAATTTGACTATCAAGTATCTCAACTTTATAAACACCTCCTTGTGCTCCAACTCCAATGAGATATTTCTCATCAAAATCCTCCGTAGCCTCCACAACCTTTTCACATAAAATTTCCCCATCAAAACCCAAAATGGAGAAAATATTGAGAGTTATTGCCTCTCCATCGTGACCTTTTCTTCTCTTTGATTTTTGAACTAGAATATATGAAATTCCACTAGTTATTAGCATTAGAGTCACAAAACAAACAAGCATCAACACTAATAGCTTCATTGTTTTGTTCATATAACCTTATGGATCCTTGCTATGTTTCTTGCAAAGCTCTAAGCCAGTAACATTACCACATAAACCAGTGTTATTTCTTACTGCCTTAAATGTAATGTTTCGAAAGGCTGGAATGTTTGGAAGAGGTCCCTCTAAATGGTTGTAAGATATGTCAACTGATGTTAGAGAGTAGTCAAAGTCTTATTTTAGAGCGATGAAACCACTCAAGAAATTATGACCCATCTGGAGTTTATGGAAAGAAGAGAAGTTGAGGCCGTGAAGTTTACCTTGCTATAGCTTTGTTTACTTTTCAAAACCCATTTATTACTCCAAAACTAATGTTACAATCAAGTCTTCAATTCTTTTTTTCAATATAATTTTAAAATTCTAATCCACGGCAAGATATATTTCCCCTTAGCAAACTGTAAAGTCGCGTATCTAACATCTTTTATATTCCACTTTTCAATAATTTATTAATCAAAAAAAGCTGTCGTGAATTTGGCCCTTAAGTCTTAACTCGGGGCAAACTTGATTTTGAGAATTATAACCATGATTTTAGAGGGGGACATTAGGGGAAAATTTCTATAGCTCTTAATTCCTGTTTTGTTTTTTTTTTGCCAGCATGAATACTTCCATCGAAGAAAAAACAGTAAATCAATACGTAGAAATTCTATAGCTCTTAATTCCTGTTTAGTCACTCTTAGCGTCATCAGTATTTTTTAAATTTTGTGAAACTAATGTGATTTTTATGCATTATTCGTGAATCATATGACTTGTTAGAAGTTTATATAATATATAGAGAACAACTTAATTGATTAACCAAAAGGACAATAATAGAGGATTGCCTACTTTTTCAAGCTCGTTTAATTTTAGGTTTCTAATGTCACGTCATTGTGGAAGTTCCTCCTCGTCCAAAAGCTAGACAGATACCATGACCTTATCACCATTGAACTCAGAAAAAAGGGGGCAATATTAATTAAGTACTGGTGTAGGCTATCATCTGTAATAAATTTAAGGCTACCTAATTATTGATACTAACTAGTTTTTTATTTTAAAAAATAAACTTAACGATCAAATTTGTTAGCGTTTAGATAGCACGTTATAGCGTATACAATCTAGCACGTCTACTGATACACTTTTTTTAATTCTTGTTTTAAAGAGGAGATAAATAGATAATAAGTACCCTACTTTATTCTTGATTGAGCCAAAACTTACCTACTACAAATCGCAAAGACCACTTCACTCTATACAAGAATAAAGATGCAATGGTAAAAACAATAGACAAAGTAATTACATATCCTCAGCTCGCTCCACTCTTTCTCTGTTTTTTTTTTCTCTCACAAGGAGAAGAATTATATTTTTAGTCTTATATGTTTAAAGTGTTTGTTTCTAATTAAATCAAAATATATGTGTATTCTATAGATTATTTATTCTATAATAAATTATTATTATTAATAGTATTAACACATCAAAGTCTTGAATTGATTAGATATAAATATGTCAAGTATATGTCTTGTCCTTTTCACAAAACCATCAGCATGTAAGCTCTCCAAGTAAGTGGGAGGTGGTAGGTTTGATCTCACTTGTAATTTCAGGCTATTAGCACCTTCTTTAATTAAAAAGAAAAATCTCATATTCGTCTCCTTCCATAACACCGAGTAGGTCACACCAAGAATCATTCTCCATTCAAAACCACATTCCTCTTCTTATTCTCCTGCAAATTCGCTTTTACCCACTCCCAAAATTGCAATTCAAAAACTTGCTGCCATAAGTAACTCGACATTACAGAGACAACCATACTTCCTTGCTTTGCAGCAATCACTCATCACATGAACCACCGATTCAGTTTGACTACAAGCTTTGCAGTTAGAAGCAGCTCCTCAATTCTGCATTGTGAAGCCTCTCCTTGACCGTTAACCAATAGCCACAAAAACATTTGAATCCTCTCAATACTAGCTAAGTACACCATTTTCAAACCAACTGCCAAACTCTGTCTTTAATCCCGCACAACTGATTCATCAGTAGCTTATAGGTACTTTTAACAGAAAAATCACCTTATTATGAACTCCTTTCCAACAGAATCGATCCATCCTCTTCCCAACTGGAGGTTTTACCAGAGGCTTGCTTCAATAGGAATCAAACCACTCTGCGAATCCAATTTCCATTCGCCCACCTCATTCAAAGCATCACACACCATCCACTCTATTTCTTCAAAGAAGCATTACCTGTCCATTATTTTATTGAAAAGAAAAGGGAGGAAGAAGCGCAACCTTTCCTCCCTCTTTTTTTTTTTTTTTTTTTTTTTAAACAAGATGTAGCGCCTTCTTGCTTAACCCGTCATCTCGTAGTGCTTCCCTCATGATCAAAAGACTACCTCTAGTTTTAAATAGCACTGAAGCTTGTAATTAAAAACCGAAAAAACCCTACAGTACAAGAGCCTTTTATTATTATTATTTTTTTTTGTAGTAATGACATCTTTATAGTAAAGACTAGAGGAAGTATAACCAATTTAGTTTGTGTTGAAATTGTTTGGAGTTCTGCACTAGGATTGATGTTGTAAGTTTCATAATATGATGGAAGATTGCTGTGGGAATAGGTAAACTATATTACATGCACGAAAACATAGAATTCAAAATCCTGAGACATGATCAACATTTATATAGAATACATGTAGTCAACATACAAAAAATGTCACGTCTCTTCAATTTCAAATGTATTCATTATGCCACGTGTCATCATCTGGTCCATTCCTATGATTGAATGACTAAGATCCGCCTACTGCAAAGACTTCAAGAAATCAACAATTTATAGGATTTGAATGCCAAAAAAGCACAAGACATCCATGAGTCGCACAATTCACTTAAGAAGTTCAATATACAATCATAAGTTTTCCTAGTGTGATGATGTCAAACTGGTCTACTAAATAAGGCTTTCTCTTCATAAGATTCATAGATACATGTTCCATAGTTGGACGAGAACGTGGGTTTTCATTCATGCAAGCAAGTGCTCATTTTGCAGTTGATATCACTTCATCGGCAACTTTGTGGGTGGTGGAAGACGCCTGTCTACAACATCCTTCAATGGCAACTCATAAGATATAGGAATCTCTATCAAAGAACAAACAAGATCACTTAAATGCCTTCCCAATAAGATTTCTCATGCAAGAACTCCAATGCTATAGATATCACATTTCTTATTTGCTTGCATAGTGTAAGCAATCTCTGGATAATGCATTTACAATATGAGAATAGTTATAATACAATGTAAACAATAATAACACTAGTGAGTTGAATACAAAGAAAGGGTCTTAATCTAGAGCAACATGGCCAAAGGTGACAACAAATGAAGTCATGTTTGAGTCAAGATTTAAGAACTTAGCTATTCCAAAATTGCTGATGTGAGCTTCCTGATATTTTGAATTCGTTAAAATATTCACTACTACAAAAAACACATTTAGTAGTGCTTTTTTTTGCCCAAAGGATCACTTTTAAAGCACAGCTATTGCTAGCACTCTCATATATATGAAAGCTTTTTCAAAAGCACTCTTAAAAGGCTGTCTATAGGAGCGCGCTTCATTTGAAACGCTCCTATAGGCATCTTGTAGAGAACACTTTAATAAGGCTTACAGGAGCGCTTACATTGACCTATGAGAGTGCTTTTAGGTAAAAGCTCTCTAGGAGTGTCAATTTTTTTTAAATAACTTTTTTACAATGCTATGTGCTACATAAATTTATGTAGAATATTCTAAAATTGTCACCATAAGATTTAAAATAAACAATATTTTTATAAGTTTGGTAGCTACAACCTCAATCAATTGCTAACCACAAAATTAGTGCAAAGATTTTTAATCTAATCTAATCCTCTCTAAATATTACACTATAAGAATAAAAATACAATCTAAAATAAAAAAAATTGTCTTCTACAATAATGTCAACTTGCAAAAAGTATACAAAACAAAAGTTAATATAACATTAACCCAAAAAAGGCAGGGAACAACAAAAATAATATAATTCTATAAAGAACATAACTCTGTAGAAGAATAAATGAGAAAACTTACTAGTCGATTGAAATAACCTTGGTTCACCATATAATGTTATAAATATGAAAGATTAATTTCTCCCCTAACACTAGAGAAAATAAAACCATTTTGCAATATATGAACAATAAGATTTGATGCTCATGTATTAAGAACTAGAGAATAAAATTACTTATAAAGTAAGATCCATTAAAACCCTGAACAATATTATATAGACAGAACTCAAAAAGTACCACTAGAAAATAAAAAATTATTTGATCTCCATTAATTTGCTTCATTCCTAGTTAAAAGAGACATTTGCATTTAATGAAGGTTATGTTTTGAAACATTAAAATTATTTAAGGGCATTTTATAATTACATGTATAAATAAACATTTGCTTCTTCAAAAACAATGACCTAGCTCCAATACGCATTTGCTCACATGGCTTTTCCCCTCATGATTTTCATGCTAATCTAGTTTAAAGTTTACCTTAATTTTCATAAAAATCTAAGTTTTTTCCTCTTTCTAACCTTTTTATATCAATAACAAATCCACTATCAATATCAAGAATTTGACTGAAAGAATAGTTAGTCATAACCTATGTGATAATGATAATGGGAACGAATAGTCTTGTCTCTGGGAAATATGTGTTGGATAAGGAGGCGCAGTGAAAAATTAAAATTTTAAAGTCCCTATCCTGATATGGACCGAACGTATTCTTTTGAATCAAGGTGGATAGAAGAGTTATCTTTTAATTCTTTGAAGTTGGCACACATTTGGATCTCAGGAGCTGACAACATAGATTTGCTCCCTCTATTGGTATCCACACGAATAGCTCTCTAACTCGAACAGCGTGCTAGTGCTTTCAGCATTCGTTCTTTTTTAATGTTAATTTTTTTTCTATAGGGTGTTTCGTGGCTCTTAGAGTGTTTTTATTGTCAGAACTTTTCTAACTCTCTCTACCTTCATAAAGACGTCCCTATCTATATATTACTATAAATAAGGGTTTTCGTTTTTCACTTAAAAGCTTGTGAAAATTTAATTAAATTTATTTTATAAATTTAATCCATAATATCATATCTAATTTAAATTTATCTTATAAATTTAAATTATAAAACTGACATGATGTTCTCTCTTATTATATTAGTTATTAAATTTAATCTATCATATAAAATTAGATTTAAATATATAATATATAATATAATATATATATATATATATATATATATATATATATATACATATATATCAAATATATATACATATATATATATATATTATATAATATATATATACATATATATATATATATATATATATATGAATATATATATATTGAAAATATACATATACATATATATATAATTATATTTTGAATTTTATATTTCATATAAATATATATATATTTATCAAATAAATATTCAAATATATATATATATATATATATTTCATTCACCCTATATTACATTCATTGAATCTAGACATATTCCAGATTCAATAAACTTGGACATTATAGCTCGAGTTTGGTCATTCTTGTGTGCAACCCTGTAAGTCCATATAAAATTGGTAGTAGGCTAATTACACTATTAGCCCACAAGTCATAAGTGGCTTCTAACAAGACATTACAACTATCCAATTCACATAGGGATCGATGATCTAATGTAACCTATCATGTAATCATATCACATCCCTTTTGTCATGTGATATTTCAGTCAAGTACGAGACATGAAATTATCATTCTCCTTTACTTGACCGTCACTTTCTCAATTTTTGAGTAGACTGATAATAGCAATGGAAAAAACCTTTTTATTGTAGTATAACCATATATTTTCTCAGTCTTACTCATTAAGGGGCCCAGTAATATCTCTCACTTAATGTGAGGAACAAATTTTATCTTGACCACTCATATTTTTCTGCATGAATATTACTAAATTCAATTATAGCCTTTATGATCTCTCGGTCAAAGGTGACTTTTGACTAGGTCAAAGTTCAGTGGTTATCATGTAAGAATCTATGATGATCTCAGGTCAAAGGACTTAGTAATATAGTTACATATGATATAAGCTTATAACTTGTACCATGCAGCTTTTTCATAGCGGGTCGGTCCAACACCTCATACTTTTTCAAGTGCTTATGACTTTAATTTGTATCTCTGTAATTAATCAAAGTCATACTAGTCTTGTTTTATCTATGAAACCTCAAAGATGACCGATCAAGGACATTTAGGACAATCACTATAGTTTGTCCAGGGATACAGTTATCACATTGAACATGCAATTGTTATGATAACAAAAGAGAAATTCATTAAATAACAATGTGCATAGTATAATAATTAGCCCTAGGGCACAATTTCTAATAATATGAAGAACTACACAGATTGGATCTCAAATGCCTTAATACCAAATTAGCAGCATTACTCAAAATAAAACAAATAATTGGCCGTCATTGATCAACCTGAGTTTTCATAAGAATTAGGATTCAGACTTGTTCATAATGGATTGGAATGTGGAAGCAACATGGGAATGACTTAGATTAAGTTTTCCTTTTGATGTAAGTTAGCAATGAAAGTAGCTGTTTAGCTTTAGACACAGGAGATTTAGAGTAATGGAGGCATACCAGCTGATTCAGATGGGCCAAGCTTCAAAGACACGAAAGCTTCTAAAGTTCTCACAGAACAATTTAGTTTAGATTAGTGATAACTATATATTGTTGGATAAGAGCCAACATGTTGAAACTATAGAATTAGGCTGCAAGCTTATTTACAAGTGCAAAATTAAACTCAACAGGAACTAATGAGAAAAAGCAATAGGACAGTGATTTAGATGATCCTCATTCATTACCGAAGAAGATTAAAAATAAAAATTACATCATATTCAGAAAGTCTCAATTTTTTTTCGAAAAATCAGAATAGAAAAAAAAGGATGAGATATTAAACAGGAATATCTACAATTGCAACTTTGCAAGCTTATCCACAAATTCACAGGGAAATAGATCTGACCTTGTTGATGATAACTGCCCAAGTTTGATGAAAATAAACAGAAAACCATGTTCAAGGGGCTTTTAATATATAATAATTTGAAATCAACGTATAACATTGAAACTTTTTAAAAAACCTACATGCTTTTATTTTGTGATAGTAGCTGACAGCAACAAGTCCTCAATTTTCGATAAAGATCTTCCTAACAATAGAGTAGCAAGAGATGTAATAAAATGCCAAAAACATGACCCTATTTTAGAGTCCATTTGAACAAGAAGGAGAACAAAAAACTTACATAAAAGACTTGTTCAATCATCACTACTCTCTCATTCATTATTTAATTCCACTTGTTTAAACTCACTATTTACTATTACTTCCGCTTGTCACCTGGTGGAAACAATCAAACCATCAAAGGCGTTCCTGTCAAAAAAATAAGACACCATCCAGATGTGAAAACTAGTTACCTCCAAGCACCCAAACATTTACAGGTTTGATGTTTGTTCACAAAAGGAGGTGCCCTGCATCTCAGTACACTGATTACTTTCAAGTGAAGGAGAAAATCCTACTTGATTCTAGTCATTTTCATAACAAAGAAATAAACTCAACTGTGGTGGTCAGTTTTTGCCTAAATAAGTCAAATCATTCTTCATAAGGAAATATGTAAAAGGGAATGAGTCATTACACATTGTTATCTTCATATTCTAAATTTCTAATGACATCAATGCACAAATCCATAATTTCTTGACAAAGTTCATATTCTAAAGTAGTTTGGAGAATCCTATTCATTCATGAAGCATACAAGTTTGTGCTATTTATTTTTGAACAGTACAGAGGCGAGTTCCAATAGATTTCAATTCACATAAATAAAACCTTAGATTCTATCATATCCTCCATATCAAAAAAGGTTCTTTTCTTTAATATCTTATGCATATATTTTCCCTAATCTTCAAAATTTAATAATAAATGTTATAAAACTCTCAAGCTTTGTTTCCTGGGTAGATAATTTTCATGAACTTGGGAATTACATACAGACAAGGACAAATAATATGTAACAAATAAATGATTGACCAACATGACTACCTGCAATTGGGGAACCACCACTGCTGTAAGTTTGGCCCTTTTGACCACAAACTTTCTCTTTTCAACAGCATACTCAGTCAAACTGCAAATAAATAAATAATATTAAAGTCATAGCTCATTGATAATTATAGGAATGGAAGCAATATTTTATGTAGAGCCAGACATAGTCTACTTTGTAGAAACTGCATCTACCTCCGTGAAACCAAATATACATTTGAAAAGATATGATATGTTTAATGTCATTTTAAAGAGCTTTGAAGCTATTTTGTCTTTAACATGACCATCGCTTCCTACTTAAAAAAAACTAGTACCTGGTAATATTTTTTTCCTCACGTATGCAAACTTCAACTTAGGAAAAACAAGATCTATATGGTTTATAGCAAAGAAATAGTGAGAATTGGAGGTCAAAAGTTCAAGAATAATAACATGCATGCATAAAAATATTACAAGGAGCCAATAGATACTCTGAATGTGTCCTTCGTTAGTGAGAACGATGACGTTAAGACTCACGAAATGGTGGCTTAACGATAGAGAATTGGAACAGCGGTGATGGCTTGCAGTGGAGGGGGTATCGGCGGTGCTACAGAAACTCAAATCTGCACAGATCGAGTTGCGACGAAGCAGATCTGAAGCAACACGGACGGATCTAAAGCGATGGAAGAAGGCGGAAGCTTTGAAGCAACACAGACGGATCTAAAGCGACTGAGGCTAGTGGATGACGCACAGCAGTGACGGTGAAGAGTGAAGCTCGAAGGTGTGTGAAGAGAGGGAGAAGAGGAAACTAAAGTTTAGAGTGAGGCTCGACTAACTAATATTTCCAGCCATTCGGAGCGCTCCCTTATAGAAGTCCTACTGGAGCGCTCCATCCGGTATCTTTTAAAATTTTTTAATTAAATACATCGAAGCGCTACCATAAAAGTGCTGCGATAGGCTTGTACTTTTTAAAACTTTTTAAAAGCAATGATATCAGAGCACTTTCACAAAAGCACTTCAGTATAGAAGCGCTTTCTCAAAAAGTACTTTTGTAGGTTATTTTATAAAAAATTAGTCTTTTCATTTTATTCTATCAAAGCACTTTCAAAAAAAAGCTCCCATATGTTTCCTATTCCAAAAATAAAAGCATTCTAATATGTTTTGCTTTTATTTTTTGAAGCATTTTTTTATATAAGCACTTTAAAATAGGTACTCTTATAGAAGCTTTTTGTAGTAGTGATTCTTGCTTGATATGTCATGATGGATTATTGGGAGTGAGAGACTATGATGCATATGGAATAATGCATCAACCACACTTCTAACAATACTCACCCTCTTATTCCAATCAAGTACAGTTGCATGCTTATCATTTTTCAAAATCTTATCCAAGCTACCACCTTCCAAGAACTCATACCAAGAAGGAGAGTTGTGAATTTTAAAAAAACCAAGTAACTTCATTATGTTACGATGTTTGAGTTCTATCAAAGCTTGAATTTCACTTGAAAATGTTTTAAAATTGGAAACATTTGGATGAAGTTTTGTGATAGCAAAAAATTGACCAACAAATAACTTAGTCTTATAAACACTTCCTAGCCCTCTCTCTCCAATGAGATATTTTTCATGAAAATCCTCTATTGTCTCCTTTGAAAATCCTCTATTGTTTTCTTTTAGGTTTGAATCATGATACATGAAATTCCAACAGCTACTAGCACTAGAGCAAACAAACAAAGTAGCAATGGCATCAATAATTGGGGTCTTTAAATCTTATGACAATGTAGGCCTTCACTAAATTGCAAATCTGTGGCGTTACCACATAAACTTGTGTTGTTCCTCACCGCTTCAAATGTAATGTTTCAAAAGACTGGAATGTTTGGAAGTGAGCCCTTTAGATAGTTGTATGATATGTCAATGGATGACAAGCTTGTTATTCCTTTAAAACTATAGCAAATGGTGTTAGAGACAATATTATGCGAGAGGTTCAAAGTTTCCAACATCTTTAATGTTCTAAGTGTTGCTGGTATTATTCCTCCCAACATATTCTCACTTAGGTCAAGCTCTTGTAGAGCTTGTAACTAACCAAACTTTGATGGAATGCTTCCCTAAGGCTTATTTTTGCTTAAATTCAAGAGCTATAGCTTGTACAATCCTCCATCAAGCTCCTTTAGGATGGAGCCAATGAAATCAGTTGCATCCATATTTAATTCCTCAAGCTCATTTAGTAATTCTATTTCTGTAGGAACATTACTTGACAGTCTGTTATGACTTAGAAAGAGTCTATTCAATGAGTTTAACTTCCCCAATTCTTTTAGAATTTCTCTAGCCAAGTGATTTGATGAGAGCATAATTTCACTAAGACCGACTGCATCTCCTAGCTCTGAAGGCATAGCACTTGAGAGTTTGTTGTTGGAAATCTTTAGGGTCGTGAGATTATAGCACTTGCCCTAGTTGGGAGAAATTGACCATATAACTAATTACCACTTAGATCAATGAATTTCAAATTTGGGTGTTCATCAAAATTACTTATGTTTCCAACCAGTTGGTTATCTTCAAGTCTTAGTCTAAGAAGACTTGAGCAATTTTTCAAGGTTCTTCGGATCAGACCAGTGAATTTGTTTGCAAAGGCAACACAAGTTTCTAATGATCGACCAAGGAAAACATTTTGTGGCAAATGGCCAACGAAATTATTCTCAAATAAGAGCAACATACTCAAGTTGGTGGTAACTTTATTCATCTCCATAGGAATTGAGTTTGTTCATACCCAATCCTAGGGATTTGCGTTTTGTCAAGTTTCCAAAGGAAGTAGGAATAGGACCAAAAAGACTATTATTTCCAAGGAAAAGGGCTTCTAGGTTGATTAGATTTCCCAAAGAAGAAGAAATTGATTCACGAAGTCTATTAGCCCATAAAACCAACGAGGTGAGATTTGTATGGTTTCCAAAGAAAGTATGGATAGGTCTATATAACAAGTAACTATGTGCTAATAAAAAGTAGGTGAGGGAATGGAGTTTCTCAAATTTAGAAGGAATGAGACTTGAGAGTCTATTGTGTTTGAAATTTAGAATTTGCAATTTGGTCAAATTTCCTATTATAGAAGGGATACTACCACTGAAAAAAGTATTTTTGGACAAATCAAGTGCTATGAGATTACTCAGCATTCCAATTTCTCGAGGAATAGAACAAGAAAGATAGTTATCACAAAGTCATAACAAAGTCAATTTCCTCAAGTTCCCAATTTCTCTAGGAATTAGCCCAGAGAGATTACACACACTCATCTCAAGAAGATTTAAAGTCTTCAATGCTCCTATTTCTTGAGGGATGAACCACTCAAGAAATTATAACTAATATTTAATGAAAGAATAATAGACAAGTCACCGATTTTGGCGGGAACATTTCCATAAAACTAGTTGTAATTGATATCTAAAACTTTGAGTTTGTGGAAAGATGAGAAGTTGAGATTGTGAAGAGTACCTTTTAGACCAAAACCTTAGAGATTCATGATGGAGATGGACATGGATTCATCATAGGTAATTCCTACCTAATGGTTGCAAGGATTAGAGCCATTAGTCCAAGAAGACAAGGAAGCTTGGCTTTAGTTATCAAGGCTAGCTTTCCACTTTAAAAGAGCATTTGTTTCATCATCACTAGCAAGGGATGTAGAGAACATTAAATAGGCACAGGAGAAGAACATGGAGAGAATATATTGCCAGACCATTAGAAGAGGAAGAGTGGAAAACTTGACCATCAGGGTTTTTTCTGCCTTTTTAACACTGAGTTGGATCAAAGAGCATGAATTAATGAGTCTCAATGGTGAGTACGTAAGAGGTCCTTTTATAATGAGAAGTATGGGCTTTCTAGTCCATACGATGAAACACAATGTTAATTAGCTTCCATTTTTTATTTACCTGTACAACGTAAGCTTCTTTGCTAACCAGTTCTCTCTGCTTGTATGATAGAGAAGCTTGATTGGCTTGTAAGCACTTTTTAAATTTAAAGATATATTTTGACTTTAATAAGTCTCTAAAACTCGACTTATTTAAACTTTTCAATGCACCAAAAATAAAATAAAAAACAGAGAGAGAGAGAGGGAGAGAGAGAGAGAGAGAGGCTGATTGGTGATTGGCTTGAGATTCTTTCCTTTTTTTGCAATTTAACATTCTCGTAGATATTATGAGTTTGCAAGAAATATATACTACATATATTACAATCACTGTAAATATAATTATGGGAAATAATCTATATAGTTAGATTTTAAGATGATCCTGTTATTAACTGTCTCTAGATTATAACATCTTGAACTTTGATACATATCCAACATTATGTCCACATCTGCGTCCTTATCTATCCTCATCTATTTCCTCGATCCTAGGGCATGTAGCCTGCCTCACAGTCTTCCTGCTCCTACAAGGACGCTCATGCTTTTCTTACTTTTCAAAACGCATTAGCTTGTCCACAAGACCGAAATTATGTTTTGAAATTGAATTGTAATTCAAAAGAATGCGATGATAAACATTAGGAGTCTTTAGTGGTCTCTAAATTGCAAAAAGGTAAGGACGGAAATCACTCATAGCTGTTCGATTTTGACAGAACTTGACTGCCTTAAATGGGACGGTTGGATACTTGGACTTGGTCATAGTTGACTAGGGGAAAAAGTTAGTCACAATAATTAATAATGGTAGCTTAGAAAAGCACACAACAGGCGTAAATGAAACTACTTGTGGTGAGAAAAGCTGTGCAATTTCGTAAAAGATTAAGATTACAATTAACTCTTTTTTTTAAGAACCATGAAGTATATATTGTTATTAATGTATGTTATTAATGTCCTATACCAGAGAAGGAATAAGTATAAATTAATGATATATTTTGATTAATGAGGATTTGAATTTAAATTCAAATCAAATCCTATTTTTGGATATATATAAATACATGGATTCAAATGCAAATACATTTTTTACTATAATTTCTTTATAATTTCAATCTTCCTTTATATTCTAGTCATTTAGAACTTCAGTCACACCAACCCTCCCATTCTTTTCACATTTTAGCTTCTCTCATCTCTTGTTTCTGTCTATAATTGATTGAAAAATAAAGATAAGGCTTCAAAAATTTTAAATATAATTAAATGTGTTATTTTAAATATGAGATTTAAAATCTAAAATTGAAACCTAGATTCACCAATCCAGATGCCACTAAGGGAAAAACTAAAATTTTTTAAAAAATTAAGACAAATTAGTTAAATTTATTTCATTAGCACATGTAATTTAAATAATTTTGTCTTATAAAAAAGGAATAAAGGGATATTCAAAATAGGAAAATCATTACATTTTAGGACCACAAATAATTGAGATTCCATTTAAAAAATTTGGTCATTGATTGACATTTAAAAAAATTAAATTGTTCAAAATGCAACATTTACTATAAAATTGATAGTGTTAGAGTTAAATTTTATTCACAATTGATAATTCATGGGCTTCCAACTTATTTTTGGCATTTTTAATAGCCATCAATTGAATTTATAACAAGAATTTGATACAACGTGCAGCTTAAAAGCTTTAAATTGAATTACTTACCTTTTCCTTTATATTTTTTTTTAATTTTCTCTTCCCAACTTTAGATATTTATGTTGGCCAAAATAAAATGGTCACATTATACCACATCACCTACCATGTGTGTGTTGACTTGTGGCATGTTACAAGTTACCTTGTACCATATCACCTACCATGTTTGTGTTAAGTCATGTCATCACAGGCCACATTGTAACATCATGAAAAATTTAACTTAAGGTTAATTAGGTAATTAAGGATAAATTAGACAATTCAGAGTTAACTCAGATTAATAGATAATGTGCGGATGGCTAATAGGCCTATTAGACCCTAATTAGGGCTTAGAATTGGACCCTAGGTAGTATTAGGTCACATTTGGGCCCAATTAGATGAACAGTATTTGGAATATTAAATTTTGATCTTTGGCTACAACCAAAGTTGTATAATGAACTAAAAACTTGTGTATGTGTATATGAGTTGCCATAAGAGTTTGCATACATGTTTTGAAATGGGTTTTTGGTTGAAAGTGTAGAGATTTTCGATGAATCTTAACCCATGTGTGAAATTATGATGAAATGAGTAATTTGGAGCTATGATTAAGTAGTAAATATGATATGTGTGGATATGTGACAAAAAAAAAAAAAAGGCCAAGTGGGTCAAGTTGTGCTAAAATGTGTTAAATTGTGAAAAGTTGAGAAACGTGAAAATTAATCATTAGGGGGTCAAATTTCGATATAAGTATATATAAGTGTTATGTTTTGGTCAATCAGGTGTAATAGGTCCTTTTAGACTTAGTTCAAGGCCTTGTGTGATTTAATGAGATAACAGGATTGATTTAAGTGCTTGGATGCGTAAATTTTTTTAAAAAAGTGACTTTTTACTACTGGGCATCTAAATTTCAATCGGACCATTAGATTGTGTTTAAACCTATCTCATTAGCTAGCTTATGACATGAGCTTCATGTAAGTGCGTGAATCACTTTAATTGGACGTTGTATGTGCAAATGGCACACTCCAAAAGTTCATCATTTTGTTGTCAAAATGAGAGTAGAAATTTCAGACTAGCGCATTGCGGCGTATGGCATCTCACGCCACGGTGCATGACATAGAAATTTTGGCCATGTAGCTCTGTGCCATATACCACGGTGTGTGTACTGCACATTGCAGTTCCAACCTGATTTTCTTGGTTTTAATGCATGCAATGATTGAGATTAAGGCATACGAATTATTTTTGCTATGTATCACTCTAATTAATTATGATTTTTGATGATTTTGCAAATGATTCTTGGGCCCAAGTTTTTTTTAAACTAAATATATGATTTTAGATTGGCTTGTTTGGCATGGTGATTTTGTCAATCTTCTCCTGTATCTGGAGGATATGGGTAGAGGTTACAATTTTGGTATCAGTTTCTTAAGTTTTAGGATCTGATTGTGATTGATGCATTCATTTAGAGATATGGCAACTTATAATTGTTCATTACATAACTCTTTCCTTGATGTCCTTTATGTTTCTTATTGTCATCCTTAGGAGGGGAGAAAAATAGTACAGTATGAGGAGAGGTACTCATGTTAGAAGTGCTATATCTAGATGGGTTGTTGAGCAGGAGCCGGAGCTAGAAGTTCAACCGGTTTAGCCACGAAGTGATAGACATGATGAGCTACTTGAGGAGCTCAAAGATATGGTGGTAGATATAAGGAAAACTGTTCGAGATCATGGCACGATCCTAAGAGGTAGAGAGTAAGAGGAGAGTATAGCCTTCTCTTATATCCACTCAATATAAGAGAAGATTACGGTGTTACCACACCATTCACAATCATCAGTAACCAAATGTTTTATTTGAAAAGCTTCGGCCAAAAACTTGTTTCAAAAATTATCAAATAATACAACACATCAGAGAATACGCAGTGAAAATAAATACATGCATTCACCTCTAATATTGCATGCCTTAAAACTATAAAAATTAGGTTAAAAATGGGTCTATGTGCCGTGACTTGTAGTATGTGCGCCACGACATGTGGCACAGAGCCATGTCTAACCTTTTTGTGCCATGTGTCGTGGCATGTGTCTCTATGCACCATAGAGCACTGTCCGATTTTCTACTATTATTTTGACAGCAAAAATGATGAATTTTTAGCGTGTGCCATTTTCACATACGACATCCGATCAGAATGATTCAAGCGCCCACATGTAGCTTAACTCATAAGCTAATTAATGAGATAGGTTTGGATATGATCTAATAGTCCAATCTAAATTTGGACACTTAGGTGCAAACAGTTACTTTTTCAAAAAAAATTTACATACCCAAGCACAAATCGATCCCTTTCTCTCATTAGATTGCACTAGGTCTTGAACCAAGTCTAAAAGAACATAATACACCTAATTGACCACAATTTAACACAATCATACTTATATACCAAAATTTGACCCTTTTATGGTCAATTTTCACAATTTCACAATTTTACACACTTTGCCATTTTTTGGCATAACTTAAGCCCACTTGGCCTTGTCCAATCACATTCATATACATTCATGTTCATAATACAATCTTAGTCATAAATTACTCATTTCATCATGATTTGTCTCTTAGCCTTAAGATTCACCAATACAAACAACCATTTTAACTCAAACATACTCAACCACATATATACACATAGAATCTTGGTTCAGTTTATTACACAAACTCAAAGTACACGACTTTACAACTCAAGTTAGTTCAGACTCTCTTTCCTTGCCCTGATCACTTCTCAATCCTGTAAACATGTAACTACAGGATGAGATTAAAAATCTCAGTAACAGAGTAACTCACTCCTATTAACTATCACATGCAACAATATGGAAGTAAAGCATATTATATAATTCAAATTTTATTAAAATAACATTTATACCACATATCTTATTTCATTCACAACTGTTCATCAATCACATAGGATCTCGTGCCGTCTCATAACATTCTTAACATATCACATAGCATACTAGCATGATCACTACTGACCGAACCTCCAAATCACTCCAACACCAAATCATAGGCTTACTTTAGACCAATATACACTCTCATTGGCCTTGAGATCACCTGCAGTAGTAGAATCACCTAGCCAAAGATGTTTTAACACATAATACGGACTATGGTTTCCCCTAATATACATAATAAGGCATCATTAACTCTAGCATCATATTACAAAGACACTAAGGAGTCCTCATCTCCAATACTGCATCTCAATAGGTACTAAGAA